CTGGCCAAGAGTAATTGGTTTTGGATGTTACTTACCTTTTTTAGTGAAGGTCCAGGTTTCCATTTTCATGAAATTGCTCTAGACTTAACTGTATGCAAATGAGAGCAAAATTTATTCATCTGCTTAGCCAAATTTCACCACTACATAGGAGTAACCTTGTGAAAAGTAGAAAACCAACATTGTACAAGCATATCTTTATCACCAATCAGTAAAATATTGCATGACTTCTTCTGAAAATGTATCTGGTGACAAACGAACCATCTGTTATTTTTAGAACTTTTCATATAGTCTTAATTGCTTTAAATTACTGCCAAGGTTGTTTCTACAAATTAATGGATGAAATAAGTACGTTGTACAGCTCACTCTCCCAAACTGCCTCCTGCCAGAAGGTTCTGCCCCACCCCTCATTTTATTCCAGGGAAAATTTATAGAAAATATATTGTACTGGGTCTGGCACGTGACTGCTCTTCAGTCACAGGTTTTCTTTTTCTATCCTTCAGGCCCACGAGAAACAATCATGCTCCAGCCCAGAGCCATGTGGCCACACAGATCCAGTGCTGAGACCAAGCTCACAAGACTTGCTGAAAAATAAGGTATATTAGCTGATTTTGCAATATCATGGTGATGTGTCTTTTGGGGAAGAACCTGTCTGTATTTGGCCACTGAGCATGAATACCTGAACATACACGCTCCTCTTTGCAGAAATGCAGATGGAAAAATAACTCAGGGAGGTCTGGAAACATCCAAAGGCTCTTAGAAGCCATGGTCATAGCTCTTTAACTTTTATGTGGACCGCACAAGAGTTCACACCGATTTCTGAACCGATTCTTCTTTCAGTGAAGTCAACAGCGAAATTCTCATTAACTTCCACTGCAACTGAACAAAATGACTACATGCAAAGTTTGTCTTTTTTTTTTTTTTAAATATATAAAATGTATTTAAAGTGTTATCAGCTCACACAGTCTTTCACGAACCTCTTGTAATTGAGCTCTAGTATTACCGCCTCTGGTTGCCAGTATTAGCAAATTCCGTTTGAAAAAAAGTTACTGGCTCTTACAGCTGTAAAGCAGAAAACCTGAATACTAACTGTCCAACCCTATAGACTTAAGAACTCCACATTTATTATTTTTTTTAAATGGCATCATTCTAAAGCTAAACTCATAAACACTGAGTGCCTGGTGTTGCTGACACTGGGAGGGGAAAATTCAGAGGACACAGAAAATCCAGCTATTTCTGTCCTGAATTTACAACAAGCGTGTCACTCAGTTGTATGTCTCTTCCCTTCCAGAATGGAGCAAAGCAGAGCAGGCTTACAACTGCTGTAAAGTGTCATTGTGTCTTTGACATATAGGTCAACACACAGATTTGAGAATCAGACAGAACCAAATGTTCCTTTTTAAAAAGATTTTAACATAAAACTTACTATAGCATATTAAGGCTGCAAACTGTGGTACAACCCTTTTCTTTGCATCAGCGTAATTTCCAGTGATTCTTTTTTTTTTTTTTATGTAGAAGGCTCTTTTTTCTGAGTTTTGGACTTACATACAAATAACTAGAAGCATATTTTAAAGCATATTTTAGTGCCTGGTAGTGCTCATAAATCAGGTAGTTGTACTTGTAGTAATTTCTGTGAGTGGGTGTTCATGTGCGTGAGAAGATGTGCAAAATTGGACGGTGAGATGAGCCATGATGAACATTAAAGGTCCGGAAGCAGATCGATAGCTGGTGTAAATTGTCAGGGCTTCATTGATTTCAATGGTCCTATGATAAATACTAATTCAGCTGGTGCTAAAAAAAATGTCATCAGCTGAGCATCTGGTCAATAACAGTAGAGAGTGCAGAATGAGGTATTGGTGTTACCTCCACACTGAGCACCTGCATTTACCTTTGAATTGACTCTGCATGGTGCAAAAAGGTAAAATTCCCTGTTTATTCAAGTTTTTTGAAATCTCCTCTATTGGCTAGAGTAGTGCATGTGGAGAGAAAGATGCATATATATACAAGAAGGCATTTTCTCTGAGAAACAAATACTTACACGGCTTTTACTGCTGCGATGGCACTTTGATCTTCAAATGAAAAAAAAAACCTCAAACATTTCAAGATACTGTATGAAAATTACTTGTACAAATTCGTTGCACTTCTATGAGGTTTTTCATTGATCCCAATAGCAAGGGAAACCAAACTTAGAATAGGCTTTAATCCACAATTTACATACAATACTTAAATTCCTTTTAGAAATTAAAGCTTATTACAGAAATGATAGTTTCCCATGTGTACGAATTACTGAGAATTATAACATCAACAAAAAGGAAGGAAGCCAGGTTGCACATAAAAATCTACACTTCCTAGGCGATTCTCACCTTTTTTTTTCTAAATATTTTCCACCGGATAAAGTTCGTTAGTTTGTTCTAACCATTTCCCATTTCACAAAGTTAAGTTTTTACTGAATCTGTAAATAAGAAATCAATTATACAATAGCATTAACAGAACCTAAGAGAAAAGGGACTTTGTGCATGGCTGGTGGTTAACTCATTGATTCGGCTGCGTAGTTCTCTTGGATGCCTTATCAAATGCTGCTAATTTCTAGTCTGCATACAAATGTACTGACGTGCCAGAATTAAATCAAATTAGAATGTTTAGAGTAAAAGCGCATTTGCCATGTTTCAAATTGTTCATATTTATTTGGAGATCTCAGAAGGACATCTTAATCTTATAGTGTTGTTACTTCAACAGAAAAAGAAATTTTTAATGTTATTTGGAGAAAGTCCCTTAGCTTACAGACTGAAAAAAGCAGAACTGCTGCAACAGACATTTTGACAAAAGCTTTGAATGAAAAATAACAAAATCTCTGCAGGGAATTTCCCATTAATCTAATTTATTTGGGAGCACATTTTCACAATAATAATTAAGTTATCTAATGTTCGCTTACATTAAAAAGCAATCATCTGTAACAGTTCATTACTAGAAAAAAGGGGGGGAAAAAGGCCAATATTTTAAACTAACACCACAGGAAAAAACTAACAACTTACAAACATCAAAGGAATGCCATGATGTTTGACAGCTTCCTGTGAATTCAGCTGTTTCATCTCTTAGTGAAGTTGGCAACAGAAATTCTGTGCAGCGGTGTCTTTAAAGCTGTAACATGTTTATTTGTTAGACCTCTATTCATGCGTTTTTCAGGGTGTTTCAATAACCAAAATATCCAATAACTAAAGTCTTGTGACATAGGAATCCATGTTCAGTAGAGACAATGAAAATAACTACTACATTTTCCTATGGAGCATTATATTCGGGTAGTTCATCCATGCCTTGCAAGTCTTCAGTGGGTGGAGAATACCACGTATAACCAACTGAGATACCATTGAGCAAAATGCGGTTTTATCTGCTTTATTTCTCCTAGAGATGTCAGCACAGCACATTATATTGCCTGTAATTTTAATAGATAAACGAGACAATGATTCCGTTGTTCTTTTTTTCTCAAAATGGTAGATTACATTTTCTTAAAAAGGTCTGCAAACATATTTACAAAAGTATGAAAGCAATAAATGCAGGCTTCTTATGTTTTTACTGAACTTCCAAAGACTGACTGATATCCTAATTTTATTGGAAATCTGGTCCAAGGATGATACAAGAAATTAAATATCACACTCAGTTTTGCTTTCTTGTAGGCTACCGTGGAAAACAAATCAGACGGATAATTATTTTAAAAAGAACAAACTTATATTCCATGAAGCATAATAAAGAAATTCCAAAAGCATTTCCTATATTTTTATTTTGTTTCATCTTTAAAACATCTCTTGGTCTTGCTTAACGTTGTGTTAAAATGTGGGACACCATCTTACTTTTGGAAAGCCAGCTGCTGTAATGTAATTATAAAGTAGCCACTCAAATATCATTCACAGTATCTGCATCACAGGAATAGACTTCTTTTTCAAACGGGAGTGATAAAATTTGTGTTGTTGCCTTCATCTTTCACATTTTAAATACTGTTGGCTGACAGAAATAAAGTGTAGTGTCATGCTTGGTTTACCTAAATCGTTTATTTTGTAACTAATAAAAGTAAACAATTACCAGATACTGTATATAGAGAGATATATAGATATATGGCCACAAATAAACTATAGTAGAAAGTTATTTTGGTTTTGATAAAGTTAAGAAAAGCACATAAAATCATATTTCATTAATATCTTGTTTTATGGCCATCAATATTTTTGTATTTTTTTGTTTTGTTTCATCAACATAGCAAAATACAATCTTCCTATTAAACAATAATTATCAGATGGCAGACAATTCTTTTTATTGGTTTACATTGGCAGGTCACAGTCTAAAAGCACAACCACATCAGGCAGAAATTGCACACAGACCGCCCTGGATTTTGAAGACTATTTTTCATGCTTCTACCAAAAGAGCTTAATTTAAAACTGGGGACTGTAACACACACTAATTAAATACATAGGCTTCTTTTTTTTTTTTTTTTTACTAGCTAAATAAAATGACTGAAATTGCAGTACTTTATTTTGCTTTCAGCTTCAGTATTAACGATTGTGCTTGATGCTAGCAAACACGCTTTGAACTTCCTAGCAATCGTTTATGAAAGTTCGATCACCCAGATAAAACCCAGATGATTTTTTTTTCCCATCACGGAATACTGCAGATTTATTTCAATTAGGCCTGTTCCTTGGCTTTTTTTTGGGTGTTGGTATTTGCATTTTTAAGTTAATCCTGAAAACTAAGGGAGATTCGCATGTAATACTATGACATCATACAGACACAATGTCAGTATTTCTGTAAAGAAATGGTTGTAGGTGGGACTGGCCCATAAATATGCAGTTGTATTAGTTGTAGAAGGCATGTTCATGTCTTCAAAAACCAGACTGGTCTTAAGATATTACTCTTTATTTGAGACAGTTACCATTACTTCATTAAAAAATGACAAAACAGCAATAAACATTTTAGCTCTTTAATGAGCAAAGATCAGGTCTCTTAGCATTGGAATAATATTCGTTATCCAGATTATCTTTATTTCACTCAGTGACCAGTAATATGGCCAAGAAGTACAAAGTAATTTTCCATCAAGTAGTATACAATTTTTGTGTGTAATAAGCTTTCATTCTTGAAAAAGAGTAACTGAAAAGAAATGTTTCTGTTACTGCAGTTAGTTTGTCAGAGAAAGTTCTTCGCATTATCTTACAAACTATCAAAATTGCTAGTAATTTGAAAAAATGTAAAAAAAAATCACATAACTTTAGTCTAATAGAAATATAGTACAGGTAAGAGAGAAAGTATTTATCAGGGATGTGCTCTTAAGTCCATCTCAATTATTTCTTTTATATAAATGTACATCTGATTACATATACAAACATTTTGAAAGGACCGTGGTATATAATTACTGGAAAGCAACAGGGGAATGAAAAATTTCTTGTGTTTTTAGAACATTCATTTCAAATCACACAAACGTATGTAGTATTCCGATTTTAAAATTTCCAGTTGTTGGCTCTCTCCCCGTTCTTACATACCCTCTTTTTCTACACTGTTGCCATCTGGGCTAGAGAATTCATTCGAATGGCAAAGCTAATGTATAGCAAAAAGGGAATTAACTTTATATTAAAGTATTATAAGTAAACTTTGTAACATGCAACATGAGTTTAAACAATAAACTGAAAGGTGTAATCAGAGCGGTAATATTGGGGCATTTTTATATTGCAAAATATCGTTGCAAGTAAATTTTTGGACACACTTTACCTTACCAATTTGAACTAAATATACTGTAACTAAATCACAGCAAATTATAAATCCTTCATCAAAGGAGATTCCATTAAAGTTATAGTTATGTTAAAGTTAGAAATTACTTAGGTGGAAAGGAAAAAGAACATTAATAATACAGATTTTTTTTGTCTGGGATTCGTATCAGCGAGGGTTCACCACTGTATACCTAGAATGCCATAAATACCTTTAAGAACTGTTGCAATTCCTTCTTTTTCTGAAGCTACCATGAAATATTTTACTGTAATTACTTTTGCCCCTTTAAAAAACTTCTTTAGGTTGTGCCAATTGATGGAGAAAGCTTCTATTAAAAACTCCAATGGGATGAGAAGAATTTTAATTACGGCTTAATCAGCAGCACAGCCACCAAGCATATAAATTATCATGCACATCGTGCTAAAAATATCCAGTTTCCTTTATTCCCACAACTTTTATACTGACAGCACTTATGTGATAATGTTGTACCTGCCAGGCTGTAAAACTTCTTTGACTGGCAGATTTCAGCATGAGCCCCTTTCTAAGGCCTTAACAGCATTGGTGCTTTGTGTACTTATTCAAATATGTAAATATGGTCTACACAAGAAAACAGGTCCAAATAAAAATTGGTGAAAATTATCTGACATTCCATTAGTGTGTCCCTTGTGCATATTTATAGGTTTTTAAAATTTTCAGTCATAGTTCTTTCCTGTTTGTGTTGCACATGCCTAATTCCATTATGTAACTTAAATCTTCAAAAAATTAATACTTGAATGTGAATGAAAAAGTATCATTCAGGACAACTGCTTCAAGCAATTGCAAACAGTTGGGTTTTTTTGTTTTTTTTTCTTTTGTTTGTTTTGTTTGTTTGTTTCTTAAGTTCATTTGATATATGTACAATTCATTTTTTTCAAAACCCCAAAAGTTCTTGATATGTATATTCACATAATATTCCTCCATATTTAAATAGTAAGAGTCTTGTAGGTTGAAAGCCAAGTAATCTTCAGTAATATCACCTACTGTAATCCATCAAAAAATAAAGTTTGTTTCATCTTGTCTGGCTATACCCTGGTTGTTGAGTGTGAATGGGGGTGGGGATGAGGATGGGGCAGAGTATTGTTCTGTCCTCCGGTAAATGTATTGAATGTGTGTAGGGGTTGAATCCCTGGTATAGTGTTGGGGATCATTGTGATGGTGTTGGGTGTCATTAAGGGAATATCATCAGGAGACCTTCTCATAGCTAGCGTGTAGTCTGGGGGACAGGCGGTCCTAAGAACCACCTCATGTGGATGGATGGACTCACATTCATGATCCAAGTCAGTGTGCTTCATTTGGAGGGACATTATCTCCTCTTCTTGTGCATGGGTAAGATCATTGGTAGTAGTACGTTGTGGGCTACATCTCCTATGAACATCATGTCTCCGCTTGTCTTTTTTGTAGTACAATGCTGCAAAGGCCAAAATGTTCAGGAACAGCAAAGATGCACCAACTGCAATAGTAACACTCAATTCTGTTGAATAGTCCCTTTGATCCACCGAAAACGGGCTTGGCTGTTGTTTGGGATCATCTTGTTTGGCTGTAGGAAAGGCTGAAGTAACAGAAACAGAATTTTTCCTTGTTGGTCTGAAAGTATTATCAGTCGATGGCACTTTAGTTGTGGTAGAGGTATACTGTGAAATGTCGTTAAGATTGTGCAGATGAGGTACCAGTTCCAACCAAAGGTTCACTTTGTTGGCCCTGTAATGTTCTTTAACTCGTGGTTTTAATCCAATGTGAAGATACAGTTGGTCTTTCTGAGAATATCTGGTCCATGCTACTTCTTCAAAACGGTTTGGTTTTGTATGGATGAATTTTGTATCTTGCGGCACTGGTTGATTTGGGTCGCTAAAAAAAAATAATCTCCAATGTTACAAAGTATTTCAAAAGGAATTATAAAATTAACATAATTAAGATTTTATACCTAATGTTTAAGTCTGCCTTTGGACAGAGCAGAATGCTATTTCCTAAAATTAGAGGCCTTAATAATCTTGATTAGAAACAGCATTATGCAAATGAACCCTTCTTTTACATAGACTTCAGCAACTTCCCTAGTTCCCCAAAACACTAGTAGCTCTCACACTGAACTCTTTTGCTGCTGAGGACAGGCTGCCAGCAATGCGGAAGTGCGGACAAACATCTATGAGAGACCAGTGTGAGAGGACATCAGGCTTAGCTTTTCTTTTTTAGTAACGTAAAACTCATGAAGCTCAGCATTTCAGTTCATATGCAGTTATCTGTGGCCTTCCAGAGGTGAAAGACCACGGCAGGGAGTAACTCAGTATAACACACAGTGACTCAGAGCCCAATGCCCAAAAGTAGAAAAGTCTTTTGAACAACCAGTGAGAGAAGAATTAATGAAAACGATAAAACTTTTCAAGTTTAAGGTCACATATTTTATGGTCAGAAGTGTCAATTTAAAAAAAAACAACACACACATTATTAAAATAAGCTGTATTATATTTGATGCAATATTTATGTAATTTTCTGTCTCATGGGATGAAAATATTGTCGGTGCTCGGGTAAAGTCAGTTACTAGTGTAACCATTTTTAACTATACACGTATGTTAAATGCTCGGTTTTGCACTGTCCTGGGGATCCCTCAATTATTTTTGTGTACAAAGTATTTTTTTAATTTCTTCACGCAGAATGTTTGCAAAGATAATTTTTCCCTCTATTTGCTAGAATGTGTAAGTGTGCTGAGGGACATTACAATAAACATAAATATCCAACCCAAATCTTAATCTCTTATTCATCCTGCAAGCACAGAGGCATTCCCAAGGGAGATAACCGAGGGAAAGCACTGCATCATTATATCCTGAGTTTGGATACGGGACTATTCATTATCTGGTACTCACCCAGTTTTTGCAAAGTTTGTCCAGTAAGTCATCACCACCGCACTTAGCATGACATCATTTTTGGAGAAATTACAAGGAAATAATTCAGTAGGACCAATCATGGGGATTCCTAGTACGTAAGGAACCTCATCTCCATGGGCTGCATCTGCCCATGCAGGTACCTGATCTGTCTGGCAATGATGGTAGAAGGCATAGAAATATGTAGGCGATCCAAAATTTGAGTGAAGATCTGCTGTAGCCACAGCTGGTGCAACCCACTGGTGATCAGTAAACAAAGCCAGCAGTGTTTTCCTTCTGGTCTCAGGGTTGTGTCGATCTGCCCAGTCTGTGTACATAAATTTAATAGTTTCCCTCAATATATCTTTGCCTTCAGGATATCCGTATAAGTTATCGACAAAATTAGAAACGGCAAAGTCAAAATCACTAGCTGATATGCCATCTTCACTATCCACGATATTTTCAACAAATTTTAACCCTTCCCCTTGGTTAACTCCCAACATGATGTCGTAATTGAGGAATTCTCCTTGCTCCATCAGTATCTGAGGATCATCTGGTATCACATCGCCATCAATTACTGGTCCAAAGGCTATATGGTATCTTGCTGGTTGAATGTCCTGGTCGACAAGTTCTCTATAAGGCTTCTTCTGTAGACATTCTACCAATTCTACAGTGTCTGACATGTTGCAACCAACTTTCGTAGCCAACATCCTGGCGTATTTTGCAGGCTGAAAACTAACTGCCCAGCTGGAGAGAGCTGTTCCGCTTTGAGCTATTGCTCTTTGAAAAAGTCCTGTGGGGAGAAATATTTAAAAACTACTGAAGTGACCTTGAAACAGCTACACACTTGAAAGATTCAAAGGCGTTCTTTGAAACAATAGAAAACTTTTAGAGAAGAGATACTTGAATCTTAATAGTACTTAATACACAAGATGGTGAGATCTGACTGTCATTGTACCTATAGGTAATGTATACAAAACAAATGCAATATGCGCAGAAATTGAAGCAAATGATTCTACCTCAATGTAGTCCAGCTGAGGAACAGATTTTCAAAAGAAACTTAAGAAGAAAAAGAACTGGTGTTACCTTATGTAGGATAACACTATTAGCTTGAAAGAAATTCCTAAAGTTAAAGCAATTTATAGGTTGGAGGAAAAGCCAACAAACAAGTCTCTGAAATGGACTGAATTTCTGGATATTGTTCAAGCCATCAGCAGCATGCGTGCATACAACTGTGTCAACTAAACCTACTATACTGCTTTTTAATGTTTTGTTTGGGATTAAACTTGGTTTGAGAGGTGCAGTGCTTTTGAATTGTATATCACAGCAAAAGTTTACATTCTGGAGTAACAGATGAGAAGGTACTAGGCAGCTATTAAATTTATAAGTGTCTAAGAGTCAAGATCCTTTCTTGTAAGGAGCCTTTTTAATGAAGGTTTATAGTGATCACACTTACATAAAAAGGGAAATGATATATTTTACACTATTTAGCCTTGTAATTCAGAGATTTAAACATATGTTCAGTTATTCATTTAGGGGAGAGAGAGAGTATGATCTGGTGCTGCATATAAACTTGTAGCAAATCCCAAAGACTTCAGTGCAATTAATTTGAATTTATGCTGATTTAACTAGCACTCTGGACCAGGAATTCTACTCATAGAAATAACAAAATATGTTTAAATTGACATTTTCCTCTCCCTTCTGTAAGCATCTTTGAGCATATCATGGATGAAAGCCTCACTCCCTTGCAGTCAATGAATCAATCCAATTTTTTTGCTCTTGATTCTAACGCAATCGAAACTCCACCCTTGTTCCGATACTTCTTGAGCTCCCTTTGTGATGAGGCTTTGCCTTTTCCCACTCCCTTTGGGGAGGGTAGTTCGGGTTCTGAAAGAGATTTTGAGTCTGAACTTTGAGCAAAGTAATGCTCATCTCTAATCTTGGAAACCTAGACTGTATTTAGGTAATTGTGACCTTTCTGTTTTTTTGCATTTTCATGGAAGTGCATCCAGTTCATTTCAGTAGCACGTCTTCTGCACTAATTACTAGCAAATATTTTATACTGGAGCCTACCTCCTATAGCTCACTGTGGGTGATACAAAAAGGTCTATAGCATACGTAAGTTATGCTGATTTAAGATCTATGGGTCAAAGTTTGGTTTTAGTTATGCTGATAGGCACCTGGGGTAATTCACTGACCTTGGTAGAGTTGCTTAGGGACTGGAAGTGACATCTGGCCTCCCTCAATTTTGCTAAGAATGTATCTTTGGTCCAATGCTTGATGAATAGCTGGATACTCCCACTAAAGGAACTGGAGTGAAGGTGCTCAGCTTACCTCAGAATTTTATTCCAATAATGCAAAAGATAGCTTTTACTTTGATAAGTAACATATTTCTATTGATTAAAAACTTCCATAGCCTCTAAATCAAGTCAGAGACATGCCTTTACAGCCTCTGTTGCAGTACCAGACCCTGTACGCTCAGAAGTTAGTTGGAATCAGTTGCTGGCAGGAAACATTTTACAAGCTTCTGAGGAATTTTAAAATCATTCTAGACTGTATTAGGTCCAAATCCAAAAGTCTTAAAATCAGGTAGGTGTAGGGACTGAAATACATAAACTCAAGCCTCTCCTCAAATTTATGAGAAGTCATATCCAAGATATTATTTCCTTGTAAGATATGAGTAAAAAATATGAAAGAACTTGAGCTATAAAGCAGGTAAAAATATATTTGCATGTTTACAAGGTCAGATATTGAGCTGGTGTAAATCAGCTCAAAGTCAGTGGAATTACCGCAGAGGATCCAGGCATTGTAATGAATGTAACTAAACGACAAAATGGAATTTTCACAAAGATGTATTTCATGATACTTAATAATGTTTCTTTTTTGCATATTGTGTAAATCTATTTTTATTGCTTTATTACATATCTCTGAACAAGGACAGAAAGTGTAAGCTATGTATTAAGAAAATGCTGATATAAACACTATGGCTTGCTAAGTGATTAAATGTTGGGTTAAGTAAAAGTGGTCGTTCTCTGGCCATAAAGTTATCTTAGGAAATGAAACTAAACATCCCTCCTTCTGCTGAAGAATGCTTACGGAAATATTCCTCCTCTGAAACCATTTGGTGAAAAATGAACAACAGTATGAAAAATGATTTTCATTCTGTCACATAATTCCTGGCAGAAATTGGTACCACACAGGATGGAAAACTACATTTTTATCTGATAATGTGTATGATTATTATAGCTTATGGGCTTCAGACTGATGGAAAGAAGATTTAAATGTTCAATGGACCATATAACTTTGTGACTCCTATTCAAAGTCTCACCAGAGTAAATAATAATAATAATTTGCATATATTCGTCTACATTTTCAGAGCACCTTCTAAAGATGGGTGCTGTTCTGCCCACTTGCAGATGGGCAGCTATGAACAGCACCATCTTGAAATAGGCTGAATGCTTCCTCTCAACTACCACGGGATCCTTTCAAAGGGAAATGAAGGAAGCAGAGAGCATCCGAATTTACAGCTTATGAAAGACACTGGTTAATAATGTGAAACAAAAGTTTTTTTGAAAATGTTAAGATATTTGAAAATGTTTGAAAACTTGAAATAACTTCTCTTATTTGAAGCTGACCAATTTTGATTTGAACACTTTTTTTTAATGGCAGGTCTAACCATCCCCAAATGAAACATAAAATACGTGGGGGTGTGGCACACTGTTCTGTTTAATCCAAATTTCAATAAAGCATATTTTTGCTTTCTTATAAAAGAAATCCTCAAACATTTACTTTTACAATTGCATTTTAAGTACACATCCGTAAGCCCTCTCCAGTCCCTTCCCGAATCCTTTGATCTGCCATGTCGGCAAATTACTGCATCAGTTTCCTCAAACAAATTCTGCTCCTGGCAGAATTCTGGCCATGTGTTAGAATATGACAGGGTAAAATTTGCTGATAAGAGGCAACACATGTCTGTCCAGATATTGTAAATGTGGCATTTCGCATTAATGTCATGTTACATCAAGATCAAGATTAAGATCAAGTAAGAGTTAGGGGAAGATAAACCAGGTCTCCTCATTCAACCTTAAGCTAAATCCTCTATGACAAAAGTTATTTTTGTGAGTTCTGATGAAAAAAGAGGGTGCAGAGTGACCCTCAGATTACAGCGTAATGAGATGATGCTTACATCTCGTTCTTATAGGCCAGTTTATAAATATGTCCTATTTAACTGCAGGTAGTTATGGAAAAAAGGATTACATTAAAAATCAAACTGTGGAAATAGACTAAAATTTAAACCACAGTCTATTTTCCACTAGAGTTTTCTTGTGAAAGCTATATTTTTATCTCATTTAAAATAGTGTAAAGGCCTGATCTAAAGAATCTGTCACTTCCGTTGACCTCAGTGGGCTCTGCATCATGACTTTGGGTAAATGCAGCTCTTTTAATGTCAGTGGAATTATTTTTTTATGACTGGCCAATTAGTCCCCCATGGAGATACAGCAATATAAATTAGTGGAGGATTGTATGCACAGGGCACAGTGTGATGTCCCTGGTAAAACTAAACAATACAGATAAAAATGTGTGAAAACAGTGAGACAAAAGTAATGTGATCAATATGCAATAGCCATGCAAATGAGAGAAACTGTGTGGAACTCTGGTGCAAAACTCATAGGAAAAAAAAATTGGGTGCCTCAAACAGCATGTTTTTAATTTCCTGCTGTCTGCCTCAACTAGAGAGAAAAGGTGTTAGTTATGGAATAGGAAAAAACATATAGAAGAAAATCCATTTGCAACTTGGAGGCTTTGACAATTTTGGATCATGCATGCAGAACATTCAACTATTCTTTCATTAGATGACAGCAAGTGAAGTTCATGCACTTTCAGACAAAAGATTTCTGAACTAGATACGTGTTTCCTTCACAGAAAATAATAGTTTTAAGCATTTCAGCTGTTAGCCTGAAAAGAGAAACTGTGTCATTTTAGTTTTCTTTAAATTCTGCTCCTCATGAGAAACTAAACATGCCTTTCATGACAGTCTGAATATAGACGACCTCATCTACCGTGAGCATGACTGACTGCTCTTCCAAAAGGGGACACCCTTAGGTAGGAAAGAAAAGAGACAAAAATGATGCACCGAGAAAATGCTGTTCAGAGGTCTGCTATAAAGTGTTTCTACAAAGCTCCATAGGAAAAAGAAGAAAGTGACCAAAATTTAAACATGCACAGAAGAGCTGAGGGAGAAGGTGGCTTGTACAGCCTTTAAAAAGTTTGCTTAATATTGAGCTGAACTCAACAGTTCATAGGAACAAAGAGAATATACAGAGCATCACATAGTACTAATGGCAGTGGCATGCAGACACCAAAATTGTCAAAATTTGCAACCTGCATAATACCTTTGGTTGAATTGCTCCAACGGTTACCTTCAGAATAATGGGATAAAGTCAACAGATTGACGCATGAACCGCCTGCACCAGATCCAAAAACAGTTATTCTTAATGGGTCACCACCAAAGAACCCAATATTTTCACTAGTCCATCGCAAAGCTTGAATTAGATCAAGGAGGCCATAGTTTCCTTTTGCTGCTTGGTCCCCAGTGCTCAAAAATCCTGTGAAGGTAAATGAAAAAAGAAAGGGTTAGCAAGTGCTTCTCTACATCATACTGTTGCAATCTTCTAAGTAAGATTTCAAAAGTCTATGCCATTAAATATTATGCACCTACATGATCTTCCATATTCACTGGACAACAATTTGCAATTTTGCACTCTTCCTGAAACAAATTAGTTAGTATTCACTCTTTTGGCCATGATATATTAATGTGGGGAAGATGAACATACATCCCAGGCAAAATACTCGTCTAAGTCTTAACGGGTCACAATGTATTACTCCCAAAGACTTCATGGTGATTGTACCAAGTTTAAGAGTAAAGGTTTACCAAACAGATATGCTGCAGTCATTTTGTAAGTGATTTTGTCAACTGTGTATTGCACTTCTGTACTTAGATGCAGCCATGAGCTTTGCGCACGCCGGAGAGGCAACGGTTACACTTCTCTGTAGACTGTGTTTGGTTATGTCCCAGCAACACACTCTCTTTTCCTCTTTTCTCCCCCCAAAAATGCGGTTTATGTCACAGGACAAGGTGGGTTGAAAATGTGAGCAGCTCTCCGCTCCCTGAGGTCCAACCCACAGTCATTAACCTGAGTTAATTGAATCTGCATTAAATGGATAAAGAGAATTTAAGCTGTTCCCATGACCCCTTAACATCAAAAAGATAAGAGCTCAGCGGTAATCCAGAGAGCACAAGAATTGCTCCCTTTTACTCATACTGGAAGAAAAATGGCGGAACGTGTCAGGTGCAGGAACGACTGTTTTACACTTTACTCCCAGCAGTACCCTCATATTCAGTATTGCTGTTACTCTTGTCATTCGAGCCTACTGACTCTAAAAGGTGGACAATAAAAACTTTGAAGAAAGTCTCTATTGGTAGAAGACGTTGCTTTGCTTTTGGATCCCATTTGTTGACATTTCCAATTTTCTCAGCTTAATAAACAAATGTTGAAATAATACCAGCATTATGAAGTAGCCCAGCACCTCCATTTGCATACCAAACTCATTTAATGCTCACTAAATCGACAGTTTAACTGTTTTTCAGTACATGCTTTGTAGAGAAATGCAACCATCACAACAATTATTTCCACATTAATTAGATATTAGTGGGTCTTCTAGTCTCGTCAAATTTCTACTGATTTAACTCTCTTGAGTGCAGACAGCCTACTCAAAAGAAGTTTACAGTAGTTTTTCAGACAAATGGCTCTCAAAGGAGTCCTACTGTTTCATTATGACAATAAAAGCAGCTTTCGAGACATTTCTAAGACGACAGGCATGTGTACGTACACATATATAAAGTAAGGATTTAACAAGAATACAGATAGGTGCATGCATGTACCTATATTCATGTATATAATGAACATGTCATTCATTACTTTATTATTATTCTGATTTGACTTCCAATGGCGAGTTTACATTTGGTATTCTGTCGTATGTGTAGACATTTATACTAACAGACCTTCTTTGCTGTAAACTGCACTGAAAGCTAATTGGCCTCGCTGCCTCCGTAGTTGAGCTATGCTCCGTTTAGGGCGAGCAGCTTGCTTTGTGTAGGTCAATTCTGATTTTTGTTACCATGGAGAGGGAACAGGAAAGTGGCATAAGGTGCCAGGCCAGCAATTCTCCCACTTCCAGACCTAATGTACCAAGGCTAATGGGCATACTTCATTCACTGTAGCCATAGTAAATTGTTGCTCTGATACTAGACTTTAAAATAACCACTGTTCTACAACTAAAACCTGCCACATTTACTACTTAACTGCATCAAAAAGCAAAGTAGCATCACTACCACAGAAGAAAATAGCACCTTGATACTCAGGGAAAGCCCAGAAAGGAAGTCATAAATGTAATTAATTCATTCTCATTTTACTACTACAGCTCAGTACTGAGTTGAGATGAATATGATGTTGTTTTACTCTGCTTCACTCTCTTTTGTTTTCTTCTGTGTAGGCAGAGGGGCTGGTGTTCAGGCCTATGTGAAAGGATGGCCCCAGTAAAATCCTTCCTGCACAGAAGCACGCATTCCTGTCTTCACACTCCAGTAAAATGTTGTCCCCCATAAATAGTTTTTAAGGACATGGAGAGATGATGTCTTTGAATCTATGACAGCGAATCTAATGAAAGTTCCCTAACCAGTCTCACTGCCTTTGTCAGCCTGCTTGGAGTTGAGGGATGGTACCAGTGACTGTAACAAAATTAAAATGGAGGAATTTACGGGAACTACAGGATCCTGTGGCTGCACATGCTGCGAAAGTCTTCCCCTTTCTTTGCATAAGTATACGACTGACAAATCAGTTCATCATACTAAGCACGTAAGTGACTGTGCTGATTCAAGGGATTAGACGAACAACTGACAGTGGCGGTCCTCGAAACACAGGCAGCAATCAGAAGAGAGCAGTTACCACAACTGTGCCCTAAACAAGTCCCTCTTTGCTTTTTTCCCTTTCCCTGGCTTGCAGATTCCCTGAGCCTGGACAGGATCTGCTCTCAGCAGAGCTGCAGCATTGGTTCAAAAAGATCCTGTAGATTTCACAAAGTGATTCCAAGGCATTTATCAGGCAAATAGGTGGTAGGGTTATAGCTGAGGTACAGTGATCGCCCTGAAGGAAAACAAATGCTAACACTCAAAGTTTCTGAAAAAGTTGTTTTCTATACTCTGTATAATATGCAGCAAAGTGGGAAGCAAATAAGTCTCAGCCTGGAAAACCAACAGATAAAAATTATAGGTAAAGCCTTAGGGCAATCCCCTGCTGTTAAATGAGTTTACATCAAGCCCCGAAACTTGATGGGGAAATGGGAAATCCTTGGGAAACTATAAAAGAATCCTTGCAAAAAGGATCTTAAAAAGAGAGCAAAAGAGGAAATGTCTCCTGTTGCTAAAAGTAGACATCGGGAACCTTGCATTCAGTTCAGGAAATGTGCCAGAAGGGGGAGCTTTCAGTTTATTTAAAAAAAAAAAAAAAAAAAAAAAAAAAAAAAGGGGGGGGGGACACGGACGAAGTATTAGTAATATCCTCCTCATTCATCTATATTAGACAAATTATGACTTGTGTCCAGAGCAACAGCTCTGATGCAAAAGAAATATCTCATGCTTCCTCAGCAAGAACCACACTGGCTGACTTCCATATCTACACAAGATGGATGATTATTGATGTTGACTTTCATGACATGAAACATTTCTATCTCATTTTTCAGAACCATAAGAAGCCTGTTAATATTGCCACCTGTTCATGCCTTTTTTCTTGTATGCAGTAGTATCAGCATGGCTTAGAAGCCTTCAGAATGTCATGAAATCAGAGATAGGACTGATAAAACAGATGAGGTTTTTCTTTCCAGTTTGTGGTTTGGTTTGGTTTTTTTTTTAATAGCAAGGAGTGCCTGAATACAAATAAACTCATCTAAGTAAACACCCGTAGAGAAATGCTTTAACACACAGCATCATACCCTGTCTGCAGGTCTGTGGGTACAAGTACTTATTCCTGTTTATCGGTTAGATAAAACAAAGATTGCAACAGTATGTTTCATCCTCATCCCTAGAGGAGCTTTCAGTATGTAATTAATATAGATACCGTACATTTCTATGCATTTCTATGACACAATCATTACACTATCTAGATATTAAGCTAGCAATTTTGACTCATAGAGGGGAACCTGCTCTTGCTGAAAAGGGCTTGTGTGTCTGAAAGCTTGTCTGTTTTTAAACTGTATCAGCTAGTCTATTAAAATATATTATCTCTTTCTGCAAATGCTGTCTAATTATTATCCTTGGATTGTCATCTCACCACGAACGCTGCTATCATATGGTACCACCTTTTGCTCCTGTAAAAAAAGCGAGGTAAATTATTCTTTATTTTAGTTATTCCAGGAAGACATTTGCAAAAAACTTATTTTTGCATTATTCTCTAAAAAGGTCAGATTGAGCTAATTTTGTTCCATAATTAAGTCCTTCTACTGGCAATATTCCAATCATCAGCTGAACAATTGCTATTTTATATTCTGAATGGAGAGGTTATCTCTCCTTTTATCTCCTCTAAAGGAGCAGACTCTAATAGAATTATGGAAGTGAGGATGTGGTCTTTTGTGAGCTTAAGAAAGAGATTTATTAAGCTCATTTGGACCATTTCTCTGTTACATGTCCGTTAGACAAATAGGCAGAGTGTGCCACAACCAGGCCCTGTATTTTGTGTTAAGATAAATTTTAATACTTTATAGGCTTATCTGCCTGGGTAATGATTTCTGCTTGCCATGCAGATAAATCTTTTTTTCTAATATGATTCCAGCATTTTTGAAGAGTAAATAAAAGAATAGAGCTGGGAAGCTTAAAATATTGTGTTGAAAACCTGAGTAGATTGTATTATTTTAAGCTCTGGCCTAATTTGAACATTCAAATTAACGCAGAGGGGAAGGCCAAGACAGATTTTTTTCCTAATGTAAGGGACTGCTACAACCCGCTGCTGCAGGAAAAGACTAGGCGCAGGCTGGTGGCTATGCAAGTGCCATTTCACATCACAGAGAACCAAACCTTCCCTCTGATGAGTTCTGTCCATACAAGTGTTTCATAACCCAGCAACCTTCGTGGCTGGATGGAAGTAAGGGCAGAATGTCTTGTTGGACAAAAAACCCAATCTGCCTGCAAGGAAATACACAGCAACAAACGCTACTCTAAAAATAAAACACAAGAGCTTCTAAAAACCGGTCTGACATGCTTAAAGGGTTTTTTCAAAGAACTGTGTTACTGAAAGCAGTAACACTTAAGACTTTAATATTACCCACCTGTTTAGGCACGTGTTATCATAATTTAGCTATGTTTCCAGTTACAATTCCCTATGCAGTCAAATGTCATCTTTTATTTTGTTAAAAGCAAATGTTAAATTGTACAAGTATAAATGCATCAATGCATAATGGAAGAATACAGGACATAATTTGAGGGAAGAATTTATATTCCCTCTGGATTGCAAGTTCCTTGGTTAGAACTTCAGTTTGACACCCTCTATTAATGTTG